CCTGCATCCGCCATCTTAGTTTAACTTTTGTCTGATTATTCTTACCAAGAAATGATTCTAAATGAATTTGCTTTTTTTATAGGATAACGGTAAGATCGTTCAGGTCTTATGGAATAAATCATCACCATTATCATCATCACCGTCACTTAGGAAAGAAACAAAGTATTGAATTCATTGTTATCCTTGACTAACCATTGTTGTTATTAAGCTAGTGAGGCCAGATTGAATGCATGATATCGATCTACTTTATGAATTTCCTAATGTACAACGTATACGCCCTCTACTTAAACCGAATGAGAGAAATAAATATCTAGAAAATATTATAACGACAACCCCTTATTCGCGGCTGATTTTCTTTTGATGTTCTTATTTTTGCTATGCGTATCATCATGAGTTGATTTGGCTGGGTAATGGAGTCATGGCTATTATCATTGAATTTAAAATTGTTCATGGTAATAAAGTTTTACCCAATATGGCTCGCGGAGGATTAATCACTGTATAGTTTACAAAATTCCGTAAAGCTTTAAAATTTTGAGTTAGATTAGGATAAATTTTTTTTTTGTGTTTCGTGACTTGTAATTACATTAAATATGCTCGCATTTGAATATTTTTATTTATGTTACATGACTTCAGAAAATTTTCGTTAATTATAAATTCAGAAAAAATTACGTATAAAATGTTAAGGCGAATTAAGTGATAAATATCATCTTTAGATTACAAATAGATCCGAAATTTTTGTTTTACCACCAGCACCCATAAAAGGCTTCTATATTTTTCGGAATTTTCCCTCCTCTTTTGCAATGCATCATCATTAAATTTTGATTCCCGAATTGACCTCGGTTTTAACCATATCACTGGCTTTTATTTTTTCATAGGTGGATAATAACTCTTTGTATCGTAAAACTTCACAAAAATTCAAAATATCCATTAACATTTCGAATTGCGTCTTTGTTTTTAATTCAGCTAGGTCGATATTATAGGAGGCTAGCTCCGAACAATAATTTCAATATATGCGTTAAGATATATCCAGCGGTTATTAACGAAGACTTATTAAACTTGTATAAATGATATTTGATAACCGAGTCCTTACATATTTACTAATAATTTATAGCGATTAATGAATATGTGCAATGTATTAAGAATTTTAGCTACTTAGCGATTTTATCAAGTTATACTAAAGAAATATCATGATTCCAAATTTATACGAATTCTAGTATAGTCCTTCGCCACGATCGGGATTAATAAAATCTAAAAATCCAAACTTTTTTTTTTTTGTTAAGATCAAAAAAGATTATTCGAAAAAAATTTTTTTTTTATTTTTATGAGCAAAAGCAGTTTCTTCATTGGGTGGAGAATTAATAATAGATATTAGTGACTTAAAAAAGTTACGGGTATTTTTTTCAAAAGTAACCACTTTGATATCAACATGTATAAATAAGAAATTTGTATCATTAGCTTGAGGTTAATACCCAAACCAACAAAGTGGTTCTAAGATGAAAACCGGTGATTATGAAGGGAGCTCTCCCAAAAGTATCAATGTTTTAATGATGTAAAATGTTTTTTCAATAAATTATTGTGATATGAAAGAAATTATCCGAACTATATAACAAATATTTTTATCAAGATAAACTATAAAAAAAAAGTTTGGTTATGCCTCATAGTTTAATAAATCTTTAAACGAATGAAAGATTATTGACATGAAAATTTATACACAAAAAAAAAACCCCAATAAAATGAATATTACTAAATTAAGCTTTGTTTCGCCCTTAAACTTAATTCCTCTTGATCAAAAATTTCATCGTACTTTTCTTCAGCCCATTCTTGTCGCTTCCTAAGAAATTCCTTAGATGCATCCGATAAAGATGTCATATCTTCTTCGGCTACTTTCCAAGAAAAGTACCAAAGTAATTCTGCCAATCCTAAAAATATTAGGGCTCCCCATACTGCAAATTCACCATATTGAGAGTAGTAAGTCTCGATTTTTTCTTCCGAAAAAGGCATTTCCCAAGCGAATATATTCACTTGTTCATTCGACGAAATTTCAAAGTGTCGAACACGACCATAAGGATCTATATAAATCGAGAACATTAAAAAGCTTCAACTTAATAAACTTTTTAATTTAAGAAACAAAAATTGTTAAAATGTTATCGTTATATATAAAAAAAACGCAGTTATTACCGATGAGTCCCGAGGCTCCTCCACCATCACATCTCAATATCCAATAACCGTTTTCGATAGCCCGTACCGACGACATTTGTAAATGTTGTAATCCAACCTGCGCGGACCAAGTTTGTGCCGGGGACAAAACAAAATCCGCAGCCGATGCTTGTCCAAGTAATTCCGGAAAATCCATATCTAAACAAATGGCTCCGCTCACGTCCAATTTATGCGATTCTTTTTTGCTTTTGGTTTCAATTTCTGCATTTACTACTTTTAACTTACCCGGACCACTTTCAATAGAATAAGATTCTACCCATGGAACGGGATGAGTCTTTTGATATTCAAATAATGTTATATTGTTTGGCCCGATAAATCTTAACATGTTTTTTTTTTTGTGACCGTTTTCTCCAGTTGGAATCGTGTATGTCAAACCCAAATAAAATTTATGTGCCGTTGTTAAGCTATAAGCTTTTTCCAACAAATCATTTAGTTCATCATCGTTTCTTAATGCTAATGCAGACTCACTCCACAATACAATCTTTGCTTGAAGACCAGTCGAGATGGTCGCAGTTTTTTTTAACATTTCTTGAGCACTCGTGTTGTGAGTAGGAAGAATACAACCAACTCTCTCATAAGGTATTTGATGAACATTACTCTCTATGTGTTTTAATCTTTCTCCGCCTATAAAGTAGCAAAATAGAACTGCTAGAATGATCAAAATACGCAAATAATAGTTCACGGTTAAATCATCCTTATACACCTTGAGATTATTTGATGGTTGATGTTGCTCAATTTCAGAGATCAAAGGTGTCTCCTCATCTATTATTACGGTACGTGTTGCTCTATTAATCCTGTGATTCAAGATGAAAAAGTCCGAAATTATTTGCGTCCACAATGCTAATAAGAAATTGATGGCGCCAAGTCCGCCAATTGATGTTAACTGCATGATAGGATCACCTGCGAGTCCTGAACTATATATTGTGTAGGACCAGTCCCCCCAGGAACCCAACGGGGAATATCTTCGAAATAATGACCAAATTGCCGTCCAAATGATTGGAAATATAATTCTCGAATTCAGATTATGTGTGAAATTTTCAAATCTTTCATTAACCTTTACCATGATGAATTTAGTAAGGATCATAGGCGCTAACGTTATGATTGAGATCGATGCCCCCACGATTATTAGAATTGAAAAATCATCAAAGTAACTCTCCATTGGAGAGGTTGATGGCTCATTGTGAGCCAAAGCTGCTCCTAAAATAAGTGCTGTTAATAAAGGGATGTTTATTAATGTTGGGCTTTTACGAACTAATATATAAATTATCGGTAAATTTAAAAAGGGTAATAGTCGATTGGAGTTTGGACCAGTTCCAAGCCATGTTAGGATGAAAACCAGCGCGTGAGCTGGAAACATGAACATTAACCTCTTAAAGGTTTGCTTAATCGTTGGAATGAATGGATGCATGTTGTATTAAAAAATAAATTTTTTATAAAAAAAAAAAAACGTAAAATGAGGGAACCTTTTTTATATTTTTATATTTATAATAAATCCGGAAAAACTAACAAATTGACGTATAAAACGATCATCAATTTATTTATTGTAAAAACATCTAAAAAATTTAATGAAGATCTGCGATATTCTTTGATAACGCAGTAGTATGCATATTTGTTTATATATTATTATAGCGAACAAAAACGTTTGTACTCAAAAATTTCATGTGTAATGGATAAGAAAAGAAAAATTGTAAAAAATGCGGATTTCTTTTATGGGAAAGATCCGTCATTGATTATTCTAAAAAAAATTTGATCTTTACTGCGGATAACACAGGATCAAATCATGCAATCGTTTATATATATATACTTGTATATTACAAAAAAAAAACAAAAAAACCATAAAAATTACACTAAATGATTTTGATCAATAATAATACATTGTGATAAAATTATAAATTGACTAATGAGTAGTCATAACAGACTTTCTACGTCCCTCCAAAAGACCAAACTTATGAATTAAACTTAGGATACTCTCGGCAATAATTTCTGCGTTTTTCTTTTGATAACCTCCACTTAATAACATGACAATAGGAACTCCATGATCTAGAGCCATTTGAAATACAAGTTCATCTCTTTTCAGTATAGCTTCAGCTGATAGATCCATTGCCCCAAGAGGGTCTCCACTTAAACAATCTGTTCCTGCATTATATATAATGAAATGAGGATGAAATTTATGAAATGATTGAAAGATATTTGATTGAATAAGAGGAAGATATTTATCATCCTGCTTTAATTCTGGTGAAGTCAATGGAATCGGCGTCGTGATTGAAGAGAAAGCGTCATTATCTTGTGGGTATATGTGAACATTAAATGCATCTATTATGTGAACTTTACTATTATGGGCTAAATCGCGTTCATATCCATTTCCCTACAACAACAGGAAAAAAAAAAAAAAAGTAAGCGAAGGAATCAACTTCCTTTAAGAAATGAATGAATGAATGAATAATACGTTATACCTGATGAGCATCTAGATCCACGATCATCACGCGCGAAACTTGGTCCGGATATTTTGATAATATTTTCTCGACTACCAAGGTAATATCTGCGTAAACACAAAAACCACCACCGCCATCATAATGTGCATGATGAAATCCTCCCCCTTAAGAAGAACATACTGTTAATTAGTAAATCCTAAGATCGAGAAAGAAATCCTAATAATATTTCATACCCAAATTAATTCCCCAACCATATTCTAATGCCAATTCGGCGGCAAGAACACTCCCACCAGTTTGCAACAACATCGGTTCCAATACTTTTTTCTTCACTAAAACTTGAGGCAAAACGGCCAAAAAAGGGACTTCCAAAATTTTTTGTATTTGAACATTACTATTTAATGATTCAAGATATTGTGACGAATGTAAATTAGCTATATCAACTGAAGTAGGAGGAGACGGCTCGTAAAATGAATTGACGTTAAGTAAGCCGGATGTTAATAAAATTCGATGAATCCTTTTAAATTTTTGAGTATCAAATGGGTGAATCTATATTTCAATTGTAAAATATCTATATTTTAAGAATTATATTAATCATTTCAAGGTTTTTTTTTTATTTTATTTTTTTTTTTTTTTACTGACCTTTTCAAAATTCCAGAATACGATATTATAACCTGGGTGGTAAACTATAGGTACTTTTGAGGCCGTCATATCTTTGATATGCTAGAATTTATACGTTCTTCTAAATATATATATATATTTTTTTTTTCAAGAACTCAACTCTCTCTCGCTAATTGAAAAGTTGTTCTTTTATAATTATAAACAAAGGATTTAGAAATTCAAACTTAATTTAATAACCTTTTTTTGAATAGCACATGAAAATCATGAAAATCCTATTATATTACTTATTAGGGTTTCAAATATAAAGGATCATTTCATAATTTGTGGAGGTCGAGAAGATAATGTTCACTAATTAAAAATCTTATAATGGAGACGATCCATTAAAAAAAAAAGTAGAGGATGCAATCTGTGGATCTGATTTTCAAATAAAAATGTCAGAACTTGGAAGGGTCCTGATCCTTCTTTTTTGAGTATATATACAATAATTTTTTGACTTGCCAAATAAAGTTTAGCATTTCTTATAAAGCCGTGACCTGTCATAATTTCATTGGATGTTTAATTAAACTCGACCTTATAAAAAAAAAACGGGATTATTTAATAATTCTCACATTCCAAATAAAATAAAAATGACTTTATTACACGTATTATCATATGGAGCAGCCCTACTCGCGTTTTTATTTTTAACCTTGAGCTTAGGTACTAAATTTTTTTGTTTGCAAATTTCGAACAAGTTTTATGACGCGTAATAAACGTGGCACTAATTAAATAAAATTCTTTTCCAAAGCATGTGGACTATATTATTTAGGTAATTATAATTGTCAAAAATTGTGTTGTTGATTCAATTTATAACGTCATTTGATTCATTTAGCCGAGCTCGTCGAAGAATATACAGTTTTAACAAAAAAGATTATAAAAAACGTAACTTTGGTAAGTAAATAATAATTTCATTTGAGATTAGGTTGATACTAATAATCTTTTGTAAAAAAAAAAAAAAAAATTAGGTGGTTGTGGCAATTCATTTTCTTCTACTGTTATTCGATAGGCTTCCATTTTGGCGCACCATTTTTTCCATAATGTGTCATGGCGTATATACATTGAACCTAAAAACCTTCCCGTTTATTAGTTTGACAAGTTTACCTTTTATCGCGAGTTGTGGTATAAAAATTTTCTTTTGCTTGTTTTTTTTTTTGTATTATATATATTAATTACATTGTCTATAAATGATTATTTCTCGTCTTTTTTTTTTCAGTATTGGTGTTGGTCGACCATTTTATTTGGTTTCAGTATTTTACGTCTGTCTACTTTGTTTTCGTGGACATTGCTGCGTTCTTTGGAATTTGCGTTTGGTTAATTCCATTTTCTTATTTCATTTCCTTAAGTGCTAATGACAATGCTCTTCCATCTTTCGGTTCGTTATTTGTATATTACTTCTCTTCAATTATTGTAATATCTATTAACTCTTTTTTTTTTTTTTTCAGATACGAAATCTTATAATATCGATTTGATTCCAGCACGAAACAAATCCGGACTTCTCAAGAATTTGCTTAATTTCATATTACAGAAAAAGGAAGAAATAATTCCTTTGACATCTGCTTCGCAATCATCGAATCTTTCAACAAGAAAAAATTTATGATTTTGTACTTTAATGTATTAATTTCTGAATGCGTACAAATTATCGTGATTAATTAATATCTTTATAGAATACGTCAATGTTAAAAAATAAGATTGACTTTCTTTATTTTAAAAATTATTGGGAAGTGTTGATTGTTTGACTTGATGAGGCACTGTCACTAGTTTGTTGAGAATCTACAGGGATTTTGTTCTCTAACCAGTCACTAACAAAATGACCAGTTAAAGCTAATGTTATTCCGCCTTATAATTTCATACACAAGTAATCGTGTAAAAATATTTGAATCAATATTAAGAAAGAAAATTTCTGTTTAATAAATTACCGAGACTTAATTCGTCATACCTAAACCAAGATAAACGCGTGTTTTAGGTGGTAAAGATCTGTAGGAAGCCCAAAATGACTTCATGTTTATTTCTTTTGAGTAATTTTATTTTTTTTTAATAACTTGTATCAAGTTTATGGCTTACTTATAAATAAGGTTTTGATTAAAAAAAAAGTCTTTTTAGCCGGTGAGAAAAAAAAAAAAAAAAGATCTTTAACCAATAATAGCAATAAATACAGGGGAATGGCACGTGAAGATATTTAAAATTATATCGTTGTACAATAAATTTTACAATTGGGTTGAGATTTTTATTGCATTTTAGTTTTTGATGTTATTAGATCAAAATGTATTAAGCTCTCCTCCCAATTGACGATCCTTTATTTCCAAAACGGTTTATAATAGCAATTTAGAAAATTAAAATATTTATAAATTTGATTTTAGACTAATTATAGTGAAGTTATACTTCTTAAAGTGGGATTTTTTCTTGCTTCAGTTCTTTTGTTTTTCGCATTTCTTTTAATTCATCAGCAAATTTTCTTTGAAATCTTATTTGATGACAAACATATTTTTAACTATTAATAACTGATAGTAAAAATGAAATAAAAACAGAGATGTGATTCGGGTGACGTGCACGCTACATTATTACTGATAATAGTAATTTTATTACAAATTGAATAGTGAACCAAATATGGCTTTGTAGTTATTCCATAGAAACAATAAAAAAAACATGCAAGCTAAAATTACAATTTATAATACTGTTACGTAGAAACCTGTGAAGTCTGAAGATAGAACATAGTTTAGATGAAGTATGCCGTAATATTAAAATTGTGAAAACTAACTTTGTTACCTCATGAGATAAATGAACGGCTTATAGGTAGTTATCTTCGTTAACATTATCATTAATGTTTTCGTTAATGTTATAGTCACAGACTTCTTCATAAATTCGCCTATTATTCGAATCCAAAAGCTCTCGAACATGTGATTCTTTAATATCGCATGTTAGTTGTCCTTGTGCATTGCGTACATATAAAGAGATCATAGTTGCGAACTAAAACATAGGTTACAAGGGCCTAATGAATATATTTGACCGTAGTTCTTCGTCATCTTTACCATCTTTACTATCTTGATCATAATCTTCAGATTCAACACCCGGTTGTTTACAATCAAGATTTTTCTTGTGAATCAAAATCTGGATGTTGAGAAGGACAAGTACAAATTTAAATTAATCCTAATTCATAACAGTTCATGAAACAAAATAATTAAATTACCGTTTCGTTGATTGATTTCTTTATCATTTTATTAACAGCACGCTCCACATTTAATGAGCTGCCAATCTGCAATAACAGAATTATGAAGAGCTGAACAGTTAAAAATTCGAATACTTATTCAAATGCAATCCTACCCGAAGCCGCTTTCGTTCCTGATTATACTGGTAGGTATCTTGCAAATCTAGAAAACGCTTTCTTTCACCTTTATGATTTTTGACACGATCAGCTATAGCTCTCGCCCTTTCCTGCAGAAAGGGAGAAAGACCTTTATGGTTCGCTATTACCATCAGATCTCGTACAAAAGAACCATGAGTCGGTTTTCTTACTGTTGAGAAGTAAAGGTCATAGTTGTTCCAATTTGAAACGGAATTTCTTTTGAAAAATATGTTAACTTTTACATAGTCAGGACAGGATTTCATTATTATATCGTAGAGAAAAAAAGAAAAATAGGTGAAGTATATTCTCAGATTTTAACGCGATTGTTTAAAACGCGAGAATAAGCATGTGACAAATGTGTAAGTCACGTGATAGTAAATGTTTATTATAATTAGGGATGGGCGTTAATTAACCTGGTTAATTAACCGTTAATTAACCGAGGGATAATTAACCATTTTGGTTAATTTTG